TGTCTCTAACTCACTATTATTTGTCTATTTGTTTTCCTGAGAAACTATTTTGTAGATAACAATATGTAAAACAATAACCATTGATAATTTCCTACCATTTTTGTCTGTAATTTGCTAAGTCTTCCCTATTATTATGTTATCCTTCTTTTACTCTTTAAAATAAAAAAAAATTTTTTTGAAAGATAGTTTTGCAGTTTACATCAATCTATGTTGGAAATTATTTTCTTTCTGGACTTGAAATACGTCACTTCAAGCTCTTCTTGATTTGCGGGTTTGTGTTGAGAAGTCTGCCATTATTCTGATGGGGTTTCTTTTTAGATGATGTTTCTTTTCTCTAACAGCTTTTAGTATTTTCTTGTGCTGAATTTTTGGCATCTTGATTATTATATGTCTGGGTGTAGATTTATTTTAGTTTTAGCTAACTGGAGTTCTACATTCCACATTTACCTGTATGTCAGATTCTTTTCCCATGTTTGGGAAATTTTCTGTTATTACTTCTGCAAATAGTGTTTTTATGCCATTTTTGTTACTACTGCTTTTTCATTGACACCAATTATTCTAATATTATTTTTCTTTGCACCACCTTGCAGCTGTTGAATTGTTATTTCCTGATCTTTTGTTCTTTTCAGGAGCTGTTTTCTTTCATGATTGCTAGTTGCAATCCAGTCTTCAAAGTCTAAAAGTCTGTCTTTCATTTCATTCAAGTGGTTTTGCCAGCTTTCAATGCGATTTTAAATTCCTGGATATCTGTTTGAATTCATTTCATGTTTGAACCCAATTCCATTTCTTTCCTGTATTGATCATTCATGGTCCCCATCCTCTTCCTATCTTCATCTATATTTTTATCTCTCTGTACTGTATATTTGCTGTGCAATTCCTTTATAAATATAGACATTTCCTTTTTTATCCGAGAGATTATTTCTGATCTGATTTTCTCTATAGCCTCATGAATTTGGATTTCCTCTATAGCCTCATGGATTTGTTTCTTTACCTCGGTTGCTATCATTTAAGAAATTTCAAGTGTGTGTCTTCCAATTTCTTCTAAGTCAGTGTCTTCTGAACTTGTTCTAGGTGGGTAGAGGTCTGGGATTGCATTTTGCCTTTTCATTTTGTCATTTTCTATTTCAAAAAAAATTTTTAGTTTGGTTTCTGTGATGATCCTTGAAAGTTTTTTTAGTAGGTAGCTATATCACCAGTATCAAGGTCTCTCTAGGAAAAGTCTGCTCTTCAGGGATGTCTTCTGTGTGTAGGAGATTCTTGGTTTGTTTACAAGATTCTACATTCTACATTCTACATTGTCTCTATTACAAGATTCTACCTTCCCAGTTAAGAGTGGGATGGTGACATATGTTTGCTTTGATCCCCGGTCCTTTGGTGTAGGCCTGTGGTGAGGTTATTACCCCAGAGCTTCCCAGTATTGTTACAGAAGAGAAAACAAGTGATTACAACAGATGTGACATCCTAGCTAAGTAGTAAAATTAGCAATAACAATAGCATCAAGCGCAATTTAGAAACTGATAAAGTGATAATTATTGATTTTGTGCTTTAGACCATAGAAGGAGAGCCTATAGTTATATCACAGAACTGATCATAAATTAGGAGTTTGCATGCAAAGTGTTTCACATTGGTAGAGTGGTTTTACCCTGTGGTGGGGAAGTTTAGGGAGGAGAGTGTATAAAAAAAAAAAAAAAAAACTGGAAAGGAAGTAGGAACAAGACTGGAGGATAAAGGATGATTGTGCAATGTTTGGGAAACTAGAAAAGGGGGTAGAAAAGAAAGTCGGAGTATTTGAGGGATTATCTGAATTTGTTCTCTGGGTTTGGGGGATGGTATTAGATTTTAATGGTTGGGGTTCTCCCCAGCTATTTAGAGAAGAAAAAGAAAGAGAGCCAAAAGGAGAAAGAAAGGAAGAAAGAGAGAAACAAAGAAAAGGAAGAAAAGGAAGACGAACAAGAAAAAGAAACAGAAGAAAAAATTAAGAGAAAAGGGCCAGCTACTGAGTCCTGGATTCTTCCTGAGCTGGTTGCCAGTCCTGTGGAGGCCTCAGTCATCCATTGGCTCATATTGTTATTGTTACTTCAGACTTTTCACACCACTAGTCTTGCCTGTCCATCCTGTGCACCTTAGTTAGAACCCTACTGTGTTGCTGGTGTTCCTTCTGGTCTCTAGGCCTTCCCAAGCAGTTCACCTCAGTCATGGCGGTGGCAAGGAGAGAGGCTGACCTCTTCTGGCACAGCTCAGCAAGGTTTCCACAGTGGCAGAGAGGCAATGGGCCCATTCTAGACTTTTTATAGTGTACTCCTCAAAAGTCTTCTAAACTCTGTTCATTCCCCAGTTCCAGAGCTACTGCCATATGTTTATTTATCATTATTGTAACTCCCCAGTTCTCAGGGCCAATTAATTTTCTTGGTCCATTTTCTGTTGCAAAAACCAGAATACATAATACTGAATAATCTATCACAAGAAGAGGTTTCTTTAGCTCACAGTTTGAGGGGCTGGAAATCCAAGGTCATATGATCACACCAGGAAGGATCTCAAGCTGCATCATGACATGGCAAAAAAAAGGAAAAGGCAAGTGGGTGTGTGCAGAAGACAGCAGGAAGACAAAGCCACTGTCCCACTTTATAAACACCCACTTGTTCCATGTTTGCTGGGCTGGGTTTCGGTCTTATTTTCATTTGACCCTTTTATATCCCTCTCTTCATTCCCTTTGAAATAGAAATGTGTACCCAGTGCCAATAAAGCTTGGGATTACATAACTTGCTTTTTTTTTTTAACAGAGGTTAGCAGGAGGAAGGACGAAAGAATTCTTGTGCTCTTAGCTATACACAGGATAGTTGTAACATGTTAGGTGGAGTTATGAACTTGTTATTGTGTTTACTTAGAGATTAAATGTGGTTTAAAGAGATTATTTGAATGTCAGGTTGACAGTGGGTGGAATGTGGTGGTTAAACTTTGTGTTAACTTGACTGGCCTGTGGATCTGCCTGGAAGATTGGTAGAGCACACTTCTGAGCCTGTCTGACTAGGTTACAAATATGACCTTGGACACTATATCTGGTCCCTGGCCTCTTCCTCTGCTATATTATTTCCATGTTCCGCTTCCTGGCCACTATGAAGTGAGCATGACCTTCCACTATGACCTTCCAGCATGATGCTTCTGTGTTGGATCCAGCCATCCATGGGCTGAATCCCTAAAACCGTGAGCCAAATTGAACCTCTCCTTTAAATTGTGAATTTCAGGTATTGTGTCTCAGCAACAGGAAAGCTAGTATGTCATTCTTATGAGAACTAATTCATTCCCATGAAAACTCAAGTGATCTTACTGAAAAGGCATCAATCTCCCCTAAGTCACAACCTCTCAACACCACTACCTTAACAACTAAATTTCAATGTTTTTGTGAGGATAAACCACAGCAGGACTGTGGAATGTCCAGAAACAAACTAAACTGATCCTTCACACAGTCACTGCAAGAGTGAAGAGATTTCCTTTCTTCCTCAATGGGCATAATGAGCATAATTCTGCAACACAGAGCACTTCATACAGCCTTTAAGGTACTTCTTTTTAATGATCTAGAATAAGACTTGGGGCATCCATATGCAGAGATAAAGCCCTAGATATTTGCTTCCTTTTGTTTCAATATGTCCTTTTTCACTTTCTGTTTCTGGGGCTGGAAATCTCATGCTTTACTATGAAAATTCTTTCTCCTGATGGCAACATTAAAAACAGACTCAGCTAATCCATCAACCCCCAAATCATTAAATTTCTCAACCTCACTCTAAATCCTTCTTAAAAACTTGCACAGTGGATTAGTGAACTTCTTTTTATAAGATAAGAGCACTACAACCTATCACAGGAGAAGGAAATGTTTCCAAAATAAGAGTCACTTTTACAAATAATTCCTTAAGGAATAATTGCCACTAATAATAATCATAGTCTCAATTTATTGCTTAAAAATTTTATTGTTTAACATCCTATCTCAGCACCCATGAGCTAAATCCTCAAACTCGGTGAAGTAATCCGTTATTGCTGTTTTACAATTGGGAAATTGTAAAGGCTAAATGAGTTACCCAACAGCCCATCATGCCAACTGTCAGTCAGGATTAGGATGAGGATTTTCCTGAAACCTACACAGAATCACAATTCTTTGTCCCACTCTTCTGTCTGCTAACTTCTTCTGCTAAGAAGTGTCCAAATAGCCCTGACATCAAGTGTCTTACATGGCACTGAATCATAATTCAGGCATCAGGTCTCTGGCTGGCAAATGGCTGACTCTCCACAGGATGGGTAAAAGCTTCAGTAGAGCTGTCTCTTTTTCAACTCCCAATTTCTCTGTGTGGCCCTACATCTGCATTCAAATATGCCACAGTTTGCTGCAGGACTATCTTTTTTTGCCAGGGAGAATTTTCTCAAATCAGGCAAGTCCACATGCCTTTCTCACATCAGTGCATAAGCTTACAGTGTAGGACAATGCTGACATCATTCTGACAGGCTTGCAGTTACTGCGAAGAGTCACTGAAACTGCATAAATGCTGACTTCATGATGACTAAAAGGAACTTTAAATTCCCTCACTGTTCAAATTTGAAGGATTCAGCCCTGAAAATATGTAGCAGCAGCTACTGTGAAGAGAGAAGGCACTTCGATTTCATCTCTCTGTGTAAGTTCCAGGAAAATCATTAAAAGGTCAGTGAGATTTTGACTAGCAATGAGGATACAGATTGATTTGTGAGAACTGGGGATTTAAAATGAAGTGACTTTCTTAAATTGAACAAACAAAAACCACAAAAAAAACCCCAAAGTGTTACTTCCCAAATTGTGAAGATACCTGACCTAGAATGATTATAACTATGTAGTGAAGCTGGGAATTGAACTGAGGTAGTTTAGATCCAGAGCCCATACTTTTGGTTAAATAGCTCAGGAAGTTCAGACTGACACGAATATGAAATTAGAGCCCCCCTTGCTCTTGCTGGTTTTGCTGTTCTCCGCAGCCATGAGGGGTTGCCCCGTGCCATGTGCCTCTCTGCCTTGGAGCCAGCTGACAGTGGACTGAAACCTCCACAAGCTATCTCCAAATTCTTGCATAAATGTTGACTCAAGGAAACCTTAAGGGTTCAAGAAGGTGCAGAAACCTGAAGAGTTCTTTGACTGTATTTTGGAGAAGCATTCCAGTCAGAAGCACCTTGTATTCCTATCAAAAGCAAGAACAGTTCACTTCATATACCAGAGCTCTGCTAGAAGAACACTCTGAGCCTCAGCAGAGATGCAGCTGCGGTCAGCACCCTGGTGACAGTCTCTGAGAGCCTAGTGATGCTGTGTCCAGACACCTGACCCAGGGAAACAATGAAATAACAAATGTGTGCTGTTCTAAACCACTAAATTAAGCATGTGATAATGTGTCACCACACAGCATTAGAAAATGAATATACTCAGGTACTTGATGACTGCACAACACCATTCCTGGGTATATATCCCACACAAAATACATATGAAGTTCTACAACATGTAGCATGTAGTTTTAAGTCAGAATAGTGGTTACGTTTGAGGTGAGGGCAAGCAGTAACTAATAGGAGCTTCTTAAGAAGAGGAGAGTATTCTATTTCTTGACATGGATACTGTTTATGGTTACCCTGAAAATTCACTAAGAAGTCTACTTATAATTTGTGTATTTTCTGTATGTCATACTGTAATATTTACATTAAAAGATTATAAGGGGGCTGGAGCACTGAATCATAATTCAGGCATCAGGTCTCTGGTTGACAAATGGTTGACCCTCCACAGGATGGGGCTGGGGATTTAGCTCAGTGGCACAGTGCCTACCTGGCAAGCACGAGGTTGTGAGTTTGATTCCCGGTACTGGAAAACAAACAACAAACAAAAAAAGATTAAAAGTCAGACTAGGGATATAGCTCAGTGGTACAGTGGTTGCTTAGCATGTACAAGGCCTAAATTCAATCCCCAGTACCACAAAACAAACACCAAAAAAAAAACAAAATGAGAGAAATCAAACAGAAGCTTATTAATCTTACTATGATCATTAATCTGAATGAACAATAATTCATTACTCCCAGATATTTAAGGAAAAGACAAAACTCTCTCTGCTTGCAGTTATATCTTGATACAAAAATTATTTTTCTTTATTAAATTAGTATGACATTTCAAGTGTTTCACTTTAGAAAAGCAACACTGTATACTTCTTCCAATACCAGAAAAAAATCTACAAAATGATGTAAAAGGCCTGAGAACCACCTTAGCCAGTGTTGTCAGTGGTGGAGAAAAGGAAGAACAGAGGGAAAGTTATTTTAAACGCAATCAAAATGTGAAGGAGAAAAAATTCAAACAAGGTTTAAATCTGTGCTCATTTTATGTGTTTCTTTTTGAACAACGTGGTCATCATCTCTCCAATTAGATCTCCAACTCTCAAATAACTGTTTTCCTTATATCCTAGTAATACTGAACAATGTTGGGTTTTAGATATGCTCTACCAAAAACTCTGAATTTACAGTTGTAGTTGTCTAGAGGCCCTACCATGGTTTAAATATATCTCCCACCTTTCCTGTGTTAGACTCTTAATCCTCAGCTGGGAGTGATGGCACATTCCTGTAAGTTCAACACTTAGGGAAGCTGAGGCAGAAAGACCTGGGCAACTTAGATTTTGTCTCAAAATTAAAAAAAATTTTAAAGGACTAAGTGATGTAGCTCAGTGGTAGAGTGCACCCCTGAGTTTAATCCTCAGAACCAAACTATAAATAAATAAAACAATCCTCAATGTCATGTAAATAGTACTGTATGTGGGAGGTAGGACCTGTGGGAGGTGACTTACTTCATTCAAAGATCCATGAGTAATGGAGGACTGGTGCAATTATAAAAACAAGCTCTCTCCAGTATGCTTGCTCTGTCTCACCACGTGATGCCCTCTGCCATGCTCTGATGCCAAGGCCATGCTCTTGGACTTCCTAATCTCCAAACGAGTGAGCCAAGTAAACTGAATGTTTTATAAGTTAGAATGTTGAAAACAGACTAAGACAGTACCTTTTCTCCAAAACGTGCCCTAGAAAATGTTTATTAAAAAGTTCACTTTAAGGTTTGGGAGGTTTGGTCAGTGACAGAGTAAGTGCTTAGCACGCATGAGGCCCTGGGTTCAATCTTCAGCACTGCAAAACAAAACAAAACAAAATAATACGAAGAAAGGACTATAATTTTTTTAAAACGGGTAAAATATTAAACACTTTATCAAAGAAGATAAATGGGTGGCAAATAAATACAGACGCTCATATTATAATACATTCTGAAAATGCAAATTCAAGCCACAAGGAGATGACAACATGTGTCTGTTTGAGTGATTAAAAAAATAAAAAATGTAACAATATTAAGTGTTGGAGAGAATCTGGTGCAAATTAAACTCATACAACATGCTGCTGGTGGAAGTGCAAAATGATACCGCCATTCTGGAAACAAAAATTATGACATTTTAAGCAGTTAAGCATATATTTAACATACAACCACCAGCAATCCTATTATTAATATTTTCCCAGGAGAAATAAATGTTTACAGACATTCTAGTCATAATTGACAAAACTTAGAAACATCCTCAATGTCCCTTAACTTCTGAACATATAAACAATCTGCGCTACATTCATATGATGGAATATTACCAGTGACATAAACGAAAAAACTATATGCAACAAAAAATGTACCATTATATGTGGAAGAAACCAAATGTCTTGGTTACTTTTCTCTCATTGCTGGGACAAAATACCCAATGCCCAGAATTCAGGAAGGAAAGATTTATTTAGCTCACAGTTTGTGGAGGTTTCAGTCCATGATCAGCTGGCTCCAGGGCAGGTTGGCACATGGCAGAGGGCAACAGTTCATGCCGGTGGAAGACAGCAAAAGCAACAAGAGCAAAAAGGGAGGAGAGAGAGTGCAAGCCTCTTCCCCCCCTCTTATACTTTATGCAGGCTACCTGCCCTAGGTGTAGCACTCACACCCATAATCCCAGCACTGGACCATGAATAAATCACAAATTTTAGAAGCCCACCTCATGACTGCATGAAGCTTTGTGGGGGGACATCTAGACACAAATCATGACACCAAACATCAATAAAGTAATATAATGTGCAATTCCACCAATACAACAGTCTCAAAAATGCAAAACCAAGCAAAGTATCATAATAATTGGTTTCCAGGGTCTGGGGTTAAGGAAAGAGCTGACTACAAAGGGTATGAGAGAATTTGGGAGGATGATCACAATAATCTACATCTTGATTGTGCAGTTGGTTACAAACTGTATATTTTGCAAAATTCATGAAACTCTGCAATGAAAAGTGAATTTTGGCCTGGCATGGTGGTGTACACCTGTAATCCTAGCACTTGGGAGGCTGAGGCAGGAGGATCTTTGTTTGAGACCAGCCTGGGCTACAAAGTGAGCTCAAGGCCAGCCTGAACTGCATAGCGAGACCCTGTCTCAAAAAGACAAAAAAAAAAGTGAATTTTTCAAATAATATATCAATAAACCCACCTAAAAAGTTAAAAAAGAGAAATTGGAGCAATACTAATATATTCATGTGCAATTATTTGATAATTAAGATCATTTTTATACGTAGTTGGCCTAGTTCTTTGCATTCAAAGTACGCTGTGTAGCTAACAGACCATCTCACAACCACACACCTGTACCTGCTTCCATTTCTTTTCCCATTCTAATGTGGAAACCTGAACAAAGTAGAGAACTAGTCATTTATGGGCATGACCTGATTCATCTAGGGTACAAAGAACCTTCCTAATAATAACTCACTGGTCACTATAATAGGGTCAGCTATTTCACATATTTTGACTTAATTCTTAAAACAGATCTGTGAAATAATCACTGTCACCCAGTTCTACAGATAAAGAAATTGAAGCAGGTGTTGTTAAGTTTCTTACCTGAAGTGACAGCAATTGTAAATAATGGAAGCAGGAGGAGTTGACTTTAGGACTCAACATCAAAAGCTCAAAGTCCTATCAGCTACATTATTTTGTTCAAATGTTTAAGATAATGGCACCAATAGGCTTCTGAGAGAGAGGAAGAGTCGGTGTCAGTTATAACCCTCGGTAATGTCCTGCATTTGTAATCGTCTCTTGACACCACTTGTAATGTGAACAATCATTACTAACCCAGGTCTGCATCTTGTCCTCGTGGCCCATGGGAAACATGGCCACAACTGAAGCCTGGAACAGCTCATCAGTGACCATGTTTGTCCTCCTGGGATTCACAGACCATCCAGAACTCCAAGTGTTTCTCTTTGTGACTTTCCTGGGCATCTATCTTGTGACTCTGGTTTGGAACCTGGTCCTCATCTTACTGATCAGAGGTGACATCCATCTGCACACACCCATGTACTTCTTCCTCAGCAACTTGTCCTTCATTGACATCTGCTACTCTTCCACTGTGGCTCCCAAGATGCTCACAGACTTTTTCCAGGAGCAGAAGACCATATCATTCTTGGGATGTGCTGCTCAGTTCTTTTTCTTTGTGGGAATGGGTCTAACTGAGTGCTTCCTCCTGACTGCCATGGCGTATGACCGGTATGCAGCAATCTCCAATCCCCTGCTCTATGGCACCATCATGTCCCAGAGCCTCTGTAGACGCATGGTGGCTGGGGCTTATATCGGAGGCTTCCTGAGCTCCCTGGTCCAGGCCAGCTCCTTATTTACACTCCACTTCTGTGGACCCAACGTCATCCACCACTTCTTCTGTGACCTCCCACCCATCCTGGCTCTTTCTTGCTCTGACACCTTCCTGAGTCAAGTGATAAATTTCCTCGTGGTGGTTGCTGTTGGAGGAACGTCATTCGTCATCCTCCTGATCTCCTACAGTTACATAGTGTCTGCTGTCTTGAAGATCTGCTCAGTGGAAGGCCAATGGAAAGCCTTCAACACCTGTGCCTCGCACCTGATGGTGGTGACTCTGCTCTTTGGGTCGGCTCTTTTCATGTACCTGCGACCAAACTCCAGCTACTCCCTCAGCAGGGATAAGGTAGTGTCTGTGTTCTATTCGCTGGTGATCCCCATGCTGAACCCTCTTATTTACAGTTTGCGGAACAAAGAGATCAAAGATGCCTTGTGGAAGGTGATGGAGAAGAAAGTGCTTTCCTAGTTCAAGAGCAGAAACAATGCTTCATGCTGCTGCAGACTTACACAATTCGCGGCACCAACTACACCTCCACCAGGCACAGGAAACATTCTCTGCTCATATTTTAAAAGGGAGGCTCCTCCCACCAAATGCTTCTCTCTGTTTTTTGTGGTCACTTGTCTATTGATCATTCATGGCCAAAAAGAGAATGGCATTTCTCAGTCAAACAGAAATAGCCTGTTGTTATAATCACCCTAACAACTAGCCTTCACTGAGCACTTAGTATATGCCAAGTTATCTAATCAAATATCCACTGCTGAGCTGCAATGCTTACTCACTATCACCATGTTAACAACAAGAAAGACTCAGACAGATACTAACTTGCTGAGCAACACCCTGGCAGCCAAAGGGGTGGAGCCCTGATTCAGCTCCAGGTCTTCCCGACACAAGTGCCATGCTCTGCCCCAGTGCAGCGCTCACAGCCCTAAGGTTCTACAGTAGGTAACTCTTGTTGCTGACACATGGGTGAATTTTCATTTTTTTATTTTAAAGAGAGTAGTAAAAAAAAGAACAATAGCAGCATACAAACATCACAGACATAAAACAAAGCAAGAACATTAAAAGTGATACAGAACAAAATGATAGGAATTAACAGTGGTTGTTATATTACATATTGTTATCTTCAACGAAGTTGCTCAGAGTACCAGATGTAAGAATGCAAGACTGTTCAGACTATTAAAGAGAATTTAAAAATTATTAAATAAAACATTAGATTTTTCTTTTCCCAGTGCTGGGAATCGAACTCACGACCTCGCACTTGCCAGGCAGGTGCTGTGCCGCTGAGCTAAATCCCCAGCCCCTCTAAATAAAACATTAGAGATAATACAGAGTTTCACCAGACAAGATGGTAGGAATTTTAAAGATCCATTTATGTATAGTAGAGGTAAAATATAAGAAAAAGACTCTGCCTTCTAAACAAGTCTCCTCATTGGATTTACCCTTTGCTATCATTTCTTTCTTCTTCAGTTATGCAGGGGCCTGGCAAATATGAGTCCAGTGGTATCGGACCAATACTCTCCTCTTTCCAGTCTCAGTCAGATAATCAACCAGTTTTTCCTCAATTTTAGCCATATTGTCTTCAGCAGTCTGGCATGGAGAATAAACTCCATCTCACAGCTCATGGCTGGTTTTGATCTCCACACCTTGAACTGACCCTTACTGTCCTCCACCTGAACTCCTAACTCCTATAAAACCCATCTCTTCACCTACCTGCATTTACACTCACAGCCCAATGCTGGGTGCTATTTGTCATCATCTCAGGCACATCCCTGCCTTCGAGGTGACTTATTCCTTCAAGGGACATTTGCAGGGGATGGGTCCAGCACAACATCTCTCCTGGTAAATCCCCCACTCACTTCTGTGTGGCCCTGGTTGCCCCCAACACACTCACTTTTCCATGGATATAGATCTGTTAGCTACACAGAAATTTGATTTGATCGCATTGCTTAGATGAGAGAATCCTTTCCTCCACATCTGGAGCAGCATAGACCATGCATGGAGAAGGGAAGATCTCCGTCTCAGATTTTGTGGATTCTTCACTGCTCACAGTCACTGTCCACTCAAGGCCAAGAAGACAGAATGAAATCTGCAGACCATATGTAGGTGACCTTTAGTGTCCACGGAGCTTTGGTTCCAGGACCAAAAAATACCCAACGTTTGTAGATGCTCAAGTCCCTTCTATAAAATGGCATAGTATTTGTATGTAACTTGCACCTTAAAATGTGTCTTCTCATACATTTTAAATGATCATAGACTATAATTCCTAACAATGTAAACGTCATGTGAATCTTTCTTGTACAGTATTGTCTAGGGTATAATGACAGAAAAAAGCTCTGCATGTTTAGGAAACAGGCAGTTTTTTTCTGAATGTTCTCAGCCATCTTTCACAGGATGTGTGGATGTGGAGCTCATAGATACTGAGGGATAACACAAGTGATGTACATACAGAGAGAGTTAATAGTCATGTGCTCGATTCCAAGCCTATTTCAAACATATGATATATATTAATGCATGGATTCCCCAGTGACAAAAACATGCTGACTTCACATTCAAGCAATATAGCTCGGAAGCCTGCACTCTTCCGCCCTGTGTGATGCTCCTCCCCAGGACCCTGAAATGAGATTCATGGTGGCTGTTTTATAACAGCAGCCAGGTGGACCAGCAGGGAAAACTGCTAGAGAAATTCACCTCCTCCCTCCTCCTCTCCATGCTCCGTATCCCTCTCCTCCATCCTCGTGGGCTTCCATAGCGTGGTCCCCTACACAGAGCTCTAGAACTAAAAGACAACATCTACTGGGGTCAGACCTGTGTGTGACATGGCCACTGTGAGCTTGGTAGAATGTTAGGACAGAAAGGTTGACAGCACAGCTGTGTACTGAGAGACACTTGGTAGAAATGTAGGCAAATGAGTCAAAAATGTGCAGGTACTGTAACATCACGAGGGAAAACTGAGGAAGAATATGGGAAGGGAAGAGTCTCTGATCCTTAGTGTTGATTGGCTTCCATCCATTTCACTGGTGTTTCAGCGTTGATGGGTGGTGGTTGAGCTCATGGCCAAACAGACTCCCTCACTTCCTGGCCATCTGATTATAGAAGCTCCATATGTCTGTCACAGTGATAATCAAGTGCTGTATGTAATGCTCAGAAGTGATTGTCCCAGGTCCAGCACTCAGTGAACACTTACTACGCAGTAGCTAATAAAAATTATGTTTAAGGCATAAGGAGAAATAGCATCAATTCAATCAACAGTTATGAAGCACTTAATATGAATTAAACACCCTACACTGCAAGGAACAGAAAAAAGGACAGTCAAACCAGACAGTATCTGTACTGCAAAATTTCATAATCTTTAAAGGTGAATGCTTCAAATTAAATTTTTTAGCCCGAAGTTAAAACACAACGCACTCAGCATGCGCCAACCTTGGTTGCATCTTTGTTGTCTAAATTGCCCATGAGCAGCCCGGTGGGCATATTTCCATGCCCCGACCACTGCAAGCAAACCTTTCTTAAAGTTTAGAACTCGGAGGTTTAGACCCTTAGACAGTACTTGTCCGTTACCAGATGATTTAACCCCGCATCATAGTGGACTGAGAGTGTAAAGGAAGTCTCTGAAGTCCAAATCACTGCATAGCCCCGCTCCTTTAAAGAGCCCGATATTCTTAAACATTTTTGATTGACATAAAATATGGGTGCATATTTGCGAGGAACAGTGTGACGTTTTGATTTCTGTGTACAGTGAGAAGTGAGCAACTCAGGGTAACTAACAGAACCATAACGCTGAAACGTTCATCGTGTCTTTATGGTGAGTACATTCAAGTCGCTCTCTTCCAAATATTTTGGTATATAAGGCATCACTGTTAATTGTATTCACCTTGCCGTGTCATAGAGCACCAGGCGTGATCCCTGCACTGCACCTGGCAGTGGGCCTTTTTCCTGCTCTCCTCCCCGTGTCCCCATTTACCCAGGCTCTGATAACCAGCATTCTCTCCCAGCTTTTCTGAGATCGACTCTTTTAGGTCCCACTTGCCTAGCATATTTCTTTTCTCCCATATATATGTATTCTATTAGAGCCCATATTTTTTTAAACATTGAGTTTCTTTGAGGTATCTTCACGATGTCTATAGAATGTTTTGACCACATCCTTCCCTTCCCATTGATCCTTCCACCCTGGTCCCTTTCCTCTTGTGTGTCTCCCTTCTACTGTCATGTCTTTTTTCCTAGTTTCCACATATTAGCAAAAACAGCACATTTCTTTTTGTGCTTTTCGACATCTTCTCTCAGTTCATGTGTTTTAAAAAGGGGTCTGCCTAAGGTCACACCATTCCTTGGACTTGGCTTTCACACCGTATCCCCCTGCGTGCCATAATTTTTTACACTACTTTACTTCCTCAGTCCCTAGCCAGAAAAAAAGAAAAGAAAAACAGAAATCAGACACTATGAAACGATAGCCAGAATATGTTCTCAGACCTGCACGTGAATATCTGGAGATATGTATAGAAAGCAAAAGAACCTCCTTATACATTTATATCCTCTGAAACCAGAGTGGATTCCAGTGGATGAATTCAAAATCACCACACTCTTCAGAGGGTGCTTACAGTAGCACTGCAGTCATCCGTGTCATTCATTAGATGCCATTTCCTTTTGTAAAGGAAAATCAGCCAGTAGTGTGTCCTTAAATTAATAGATTCCAAAGAGCCCACTCCTGTGTCTCCAGCCTTGCCCTGTTGGCTGAGCTCATCGATATCTATCTAACTGGGACCTTAAGCCTGTAGCTCGTGTTATCTCCAGCCAAACCAGGTCGTACTCGACACACTGCATCCACTCGCTTCACTTCCAGAAGACAAAACCCAACGCTCTCTCTCAGTCCCCGGGCTCCTCCTGCTGAGTATTTTCACACCTCTCCACATGTCCCTGTTTGTACAGTGCACCTGAGAACACCGGTATCTTCCTAACAGTCTGTGCATCTCCTCTACCCCATTCCAACCCTTTCTCTGTACTTCTGCCTGTGGCGGGTATCCTCCAAGGTGTAAAGTAGGTCCCTCCCTTCTCTGAAGCAAGTAAATAAAAAGCTCCACCTGTTCTGTGAGCTATGTGGTGAGGCTGCCACCTGCCTCCCTGGCCATTTCACTCTCTCTGCCTTCCAGTCTGTGCTGTAGCCCTGCCAGTGACATGTCCCTGCAACACCTCTCCTCCTTTCCACAGAGGGCTCTTGTGACTGGACCACCCTACCACCAGGTTTCTAATGGCTCTTCCTCACTCAAGTCTGAGTTTCCCACACATGAACTTTAACAGCCCTACCCCGCCCACTGCAGACCCTCTTAGCAAGTCACACAGCTTCACTCTCTTCCTGCACTTCGGGTTACCTGGAATTACACACTGCATTTTTGAGTTCTGCCGATTGTTCTCTGCCTCCTCCCTCAAGACTGCACACCTTATCCCTGCAGTGGTCACACTAGTTTGCCGCCAGGAGCCGTGTTGCTTACAACAGTGCCTGGGACGTGGTAGGATTTTCCAAGTATTTGACAAGAAAGCGAGAAATGAGTGAGATGCTATATTTTTGCACTTGAAGAAAAGTTTTTCTTAATCCTTCCATTTTTATTTCTTCCTGTTTATCTTTGAGGATAAAAATAAATGTGAGAATATTTTGACCCAAGATGATTTTCCTCTATATAAGATAAATACCAAGACAGAAGTTAAAAAGCAAAAATCCCAGTTGTCATTCTGAAATAGCACGACTTTTCAAGAAAGTTGGATATCATCTGACAATTTCATGGATTTCCAAACTGAAAAATGTTAATATATTAATATATTTGAATGAAGCATGTAAAAACAGTGTCTGAACACTGTGACACTCCCCCTGACTCTACCAAGAGCTAAGGCGATTGATCTGGGGTCTGGATTCTCTTCGGGTAGCATCAAGAAATGAAAATGACACTGTTACTCCCAGCCTGCAACCCACA